TAGAATCATCCTACAAGCTCCTCACTAATAGGTTTTAATGCTCTTTGATTGTGTTAATGACTTATGATAGTTTATATTTTTTAATGGGATAGAGCGGGACCATTTTGAGCTGAAAAGTAACATGAGTTGGCTTAAGTTTTATAAAAATAATGTCACAAACCTGTCATAAGAGGTGAAGTTAAACTAATCTTTATTTGCTCCAAAGTCTGTACATATTCCTTGCACTGATGGTCAATTCCTTTCAGAGCAGAAAGCCAGGAAATATTTTCCTACTCATGAAGTCTTTTTTTTCTTTAAATTTATAATTTTTCTTTTATTTTCGAGATTATAATAAATGACATCATTTCCCTTTCCTCCATCCAACACTCCTATGTAACCCCCTTAGATCTCTTTCAAATTCATGACCTCCTTTTTCATTAATTGTTGTTACATGCATATATGTATATACATGTATATTACTAATATAATATGCTCAGCCTGTATAATGTTATTTGTATATGTTTCCAGGGCTGACCATTTGGTATTAGATAACCAATTAGTGTGTTCTTCTCTGGGGACGGCTATTTGTCCAACTCTCAGCTTTTTTTAGTTGCCTGTAGTTCTTTGTGTAGGGTCTCATGATTGTTCCCCCATCTACTTTGACATGTCTATTATTATTGTCTTTGTTCAGCTTATGTTTAGGCATTCAGGTTGGTGAGACTTTATGGGTGTAGCATCTAATGTTGCTAGGAGACACAGTCTCACAGCAAACTCCCTGATCTTCTGGCCTTACAATCTTTTCACCTCTTCTTCCACAATGTTCCCTGAGTTGTAGCTGGAGTTTTCCTGCCTGGCCCACAGTCAGGGCAAATCTCTCTCACCTGCCAGTCCCACAGCCGTCAGACCCGACCAAGTAAACACAGAGACTTGTATTGGTTTCAAACTGTATGGCCATGGCAGGCTTCTTGCTAACTGTTCTTTCAGCTTAAATTAATCCATTTTTATAAATCTATACCTTGCCACATGGCTCGTGGCTTACCGGCATCTTCACATGCTGTTTCTCGTCGTGGCGGCTGGCAGTGTCTCTCTAACTCAGCCTTCCACTTCCCAGCTTTATTCTCCTCCTTGTCCCACCTACACTTCCTGCCTAGCCAATGGCCAATCAGTGTTTTAATTATTGACTAATCAGCAACACATTTGACATACAGAACATCCCACAGCACTTCCCCCCCTTTTTTTTTTTTAAAAAAAAAGGAAGGTTTTAACCTTAACAAAGTAAAATTACATATAATTTGGGAATTTGGGCGTAGCTTCTCTTACTACTTCCTGCTGGAGGGGGGCGCTGTATCTTATGGGGATACAAAGAAAATTTTAGGATCATGGAAAAGTCCATGAGGGTGTATCGTCTGAGCCAGTTGCCTTCAAACCATTCTGGATGTTGGATCATCTGGGCCATGGTGTCATCGGAGACCTTTCAGGGGGTCTTGGCTGGTCAAACCTGATGTGTCTTAATCTGGAACAAATCCATAGCCTTTGGCTTTCTGTGGGAACAAAAGCAGAGTCTCCTTTCCAAAGTAACATATCCTTATATTCAAATTTTGAAGTCAAGATACCTTTAAAATATACATTTTGGCATAACTCAACAGCTTTTACAATCAAATATTTTTCTGCAGTTAAAAGTCCCAAAGACAACACAATGCAGATTCTCTGTGTAATATCCATTTTTACGTGGCTTATTTTTTATACTACCTTTACTGTCTCTTTAAAGACTTTATTTTTTAAAACTATGTATTTATTTCTATAACTCTATATATCATCTTTTTTGTCTCTTTCAAGCCTACGTATCTTTTACACACATTGTAAACTATTACATCTGAATCTGTCTTATTGTGAATCTATTGCCTTAAACTGCAGCAGCTGTGGCTGCTGGATCCACCCACCTCAGCTTCCCAACATGGCCATGGTTTACCGCCAGCTCTGGGAGCTATCGGGGGTCTATGCTTTTAGCCAAGCAGCGTGTAGCCCAGAAACCTCTTTTTTTTGTTGTTTTGCACTAGCAAAGGCTAAATCCACCATGCAGCTTAATGTGCCACTTGCAGAGGCCTCATTCCTGCCATACAGCATGTCGAGCATGCACACCAGGAACCCACAAGTAGCTCAAACCAGCAGCTGCTGCTCATTTGAGAGAGACAATTAGGAACTGTTTTTAGCTCCATTTTAGAATCTTTTTTTTTTTTTCAGTTTTTAGGTGGAAACTCTTGCCACCACGTTGGACGCCATTTGTAGCTGGAGTTTTCCTGCCTGGCCCACAGTCAGGGCAAATCTCTCTCACCTGCCAGTCCCACAGCCGTCAGACCCGACCAAGTAAACACAGAGACTTGTATTGGTTTCAAACTGTATGGCCATGGCAGGCTTCTTGCTAACTGTTCTTTCAGCTTAACTTAATCCATTTTTATAAATCTATACCTTGCCACATGGCTCGTGGCTTACCGGCATCTTCACATGCTGTTTCTCGTCGTGGCGGCTGGCAGTGTCTCTCTAACTCAGCCTTCCACTTCCCAGCTTTATTCTCCTCCTTGTCCCGCCTACACTTCCTGCCTAGCCAATGGCCAATCAGTGTTTTAATTATTGACTAATCAGCAACACATTTGACATACAGAACATCCCACAGCACTGAGTTGTTTTATAGATACATCCATTGGAACTGGGCTGCATAACTATGTGTCTTGATTGGTTGTGAGGTTTTTAAGTAGTCTCCATCTGTTGCAAAGAGAAGTTTCTGTGATGAGGAATGGGGACTAACCTTATCTGTGGGTATAAGGACAAATGTTTAGAATGCACTTAGGGGTTATGCTGGTTTAATAAAATGGTGGTTGTCTATTGCCTCCCCAAATCCATGACTTCTCTAGCCCTGGGAGGTTGGCTAGGTTCCTAGTATAATGCAATATTTTCTTCTTGTAGAATGAATCTTAAGTCCAATTAGAGAGCTATTGGTTACCATAAAGGTACATGTGCCACTGTTTCACGCTTAGGTTTATGGTGCCATGCTGGTCATTGTTGTGACTTATAGGTGTCATATCTGGGTAGGACTGTTGGTTGATTCTCTTATTTGGAGGCTTTCATGGTACTTCTGGTGCCATGAAAGCTAATCCTCAAAGAGGAAACATTAAATCAGTTCCAGTTCAGAGGCCTCTGGGCCCTGTGTCTGAAGTGCGTGGTGTCTCCAGCAATTGGGACTTAACTTTCACCTCTGAGGGACAACCAAGGGCAATAGCAACAGTCTGCATTGTTTTGGAGTCTCTTGGACAACTCTGACCAACAACTGAAAAAAAGGGCTTCTCATGCCTGGTGTTGGGGTTTTGTTAAGAGGAGGGGAATTGCCAACTCAGATGAGAAAATTTCATTTAAGTTATATCTATATTTATACATAGATTTACATGCATTATAGGTGTTTTTGTTTTTGTTTTGCTTTTTAGATAATGAGTGGTATGATTTCTTACAACTTTTTCAGATATCCTTACTATTGTTTTGCCCTCCTCTTTCCTTCATCTGTATTGATCTCTCTCCCCTTCCCTAATTAGCCGCCCACCGTTTTTCCCATTTCATCATTCAGATCATATATAACCTGCTATTCCCATCACTATTTGACAAATATTAAATGGCTGAATATATATACTCAGGTTAGGGTTTTCTATTTTGGTCCATTTGTCTACATGTCAGTTTTTGAGTCAAAACCACATTGTTTTTATTACTATGGCTCTGAAATGGTAATCTACCAGCACTGTTCTTTTTGTTCAGGATTGTTTGGCTATGTCAGGTCTTTTGTGGTTCCATAAGAATTTTAGGATAGTTTTGTCTGTTTCTGTAAAGAATGAGATGAGTATTTTGACTGGGGTTGCACTGAGTCTATAAAAAGCTTTTGAAAAAAGTGTTCATTTTCACAATATTAATTCTACCAATCCATGAGCCTGGGATATCTTTCCATTTTCTAGTGTCTTTCTCTATCTCATTCTTCAAAGTTTTAAAGTTTTTATTGTAGAGATTACTCACTTCCTTGGTTAGGTGTTGCTAGAGTTTTCCTGCCTGGCCCACAGTCAGGACAAATCTCTGTCACCTGCCAGTCCCACAGCCGCTCAGACCCGACCAAGTAAACACAGAGACTTATATTGGTTACAAACTGTATGGCCGTGGCAGGCTTCTTGTTAACTGTTCTTACAACTTAAATTAATCCATTTCCATTAATCTATACCTTGCCACATGACTTGTGGCTTACCGGCATCTTCACATGCTGTTTCTCATCATGGCGGCTGGCAGTGTCTCTCTGACTCAGCCTTCCACTTCCCAGCTCTATTCTCCTCCTTGTCCAGCCTATACTTCCTGCCTGGCCACTGACCAATCAGTGATTTATTTATTGACCAATCAGCAACACATTTGACATATAGACCATCCCACAGCAGTTAGGTTTATTCCTAGATATTTTTTTCCTGAGGCTGTTGTGAATGGTATGTGTCCAAGATCTCATTTTCTGTTGTTGGTATAAAGAAGATCTAGTGATTTGTGCAAATTGATTCTGTATGCTGCCACATTGATGAATTTATTTATTTCTAGAAAATTTTTGAAAATTTTGGGATAGTTAATGTAAAATATCATATCATCTGCAAATAAAAATACTTGAGTTTCTCTCTTTTCTCCATTTAGGATTAATGATGTGGGTTTCTTATATATACAACTATCTTAGTTACTGTTCCCTTGCTGTGAAGATACACCATGACAAGGCAACTCTTACAAAATACAGAATTTAACTGGGGACTTGCTTATCATTTTAGAGGGTTAATCCATGATCATCATGGCAGGAAGCAGACAAACATGGTGCTGGAGCAGTAGCTGAGAGCTTTACATCCTTATCCACAAGAAGCAGGTGTGGAGAGAGAAAGAGAAACAGAGAGAGAGAGAGGAAGAAGAAGAAGAAGAAGAAGAAGAAGAAGAAGAAGAAGAAGAAGAAGAAGAAGAAGAAGAAGAAGAAGGGAGGACAGGAGGGGAGGGGAGAGGAGAGAAGAGAGAAGCCAAGAGAAGGGGAGGAAAGGAGAGAAGGAGACTGTACCTGGTATGGGCTTTTGAAACCTCAAAGCTCACCCCCCAGTAACATCTCCTTCAACAAGGCAACACCTCCTAATCCTTCCCTCACTGGGGACCAAAAGATTTAAAGGCAAGAGTCTTTGGTGGCATTCTCACTCAAACTACTACAAAAGCTTTTGTTATGTTGAGGTCTATTCCCTCTAGCCCCATATTTTCTAGGACTTTTATCCTGAACTCATGTTGGATTTTGTCAAAGGCTTTTTTCTACATTGATTGATTGCATCTATTTTTCTGTATCTATGATGATCATATGATTTTTGTTTTTAAGTCCATTAATGTGATTTATTATATTTAATGAGTTGTTGATATTGAACCATCCCTGCATTTCAGATATAAAGCCAAGTTGGTCATGGTGTACATATTGAAATATGTCTATATCCTGTTTGCAAGTATTTTATTGAGCAATTTTGAGTCTTTGTTCATCAGGACTATTGGCCTGTAGTTTTGTTGTTCTTCTTGTTATATCTTTATCTGGTTTTGGTACTAGAATGATACTGGCTTTATAGAAGGAGTTTGGTACTGTTCTTTCTGTTTCTTTCTTTCTATCTTTTCTTTTTTTTTTTAAATATAGTTTGAGAAGGGCTGACTCTACATCTTTTTTGAAAGGCTACTAGAATTCTGCTGTGAATGCATCTGGCCCTGGACTTTTTCCTTAGCTGAAAGACTTTTTATTAGTATTTCAGTCTCATTTGTTATGGGTCTGTTTAGGTTGTTGACTTCTTGGTTAATGTTTATGGTTTGGCTGAATCTAGAAATTCATCTATTTCTTTTAGGTTTTCCAGCTTAGTGGACTACAGGTTTTAAAAGTATCCTCTTAAAATATTTTAAATTTCTTTGGTCAGTTGTCATGTTTTCCTGTTCACTTCTGATTCAGTTAATTTGGGTCCTCTATTTCTTTTGATTAGGTGGGCCGAGTCTGTTCAATCTTGTTTATCGTCTCAAAGAACCAGCTCTTATATTTGTTGATTCTTGTATTATTTTATTTGTTCTATTTCATTGATTTCTGCTCTTGCTTTTATTATTTGTGACTGTCTACTAGATTTGGTTTTGATTTGTTCTTGTTTTCCAAAATTTTTGAGTTGCATCATTAGTTCATTTTTTGGTGCTCTTTCTGATTTTTTAATGTAGACACTTAGAGCAATGAATTTTCCTCATAGGACTGCTTTCAGTGCATCTCAGAGATTTTATTGTATTACATTTTCATTTTAATTTAGTTCCAGGAAGTTATTTCTTTCTTGATTTCTTCTTTGACCCAGTCATTATTTAATAATCAGTTGTTTAATCTCTGTGAGTTTGTGTATTTACTAGAGATTTGTATGCTGTCCATTTCAAGTTTATGGCATTGTGGTCAAATAGGATACAAGAAGTGATTTTAGTCTTTGTTTGAATTTGTAAAGATTTGTTTTGTATTTTAGGACATGGTCTGTATCGAAAAAATCTATGTGTTGCTGAGCAGAATGTATATTCTTTGGTATTTGGGTAGAATATTCTATAGGTATGTTAAGTCCATTTGAAGTATAATGTCAATAGTTCTGATGGGTTTTTTGTTGTTGTTGTTATTTTTTGTCCAGATGACCTGTCTATTAGAGAAAGTTGGGTATTGAAGTCACCTACTATTAATGGCTTGATATTAATCTGTGTCTTTTAGTCCAATAGCAGTTGGGTTTTTGTTGTTTTGTTTTTATGAAATTGGGTGCCCCTGAATTTGATGCATATATGTTTAGGGTACTAATGTCTTCTTGGTTAACTGTTCCCTTAATTACAATGAAATGTCCCTATTTATCTCTTCTGATTGGTTTTAATTTGAAATCTGTTTTGTCAGATATAAGAATAGTGGCATCTGCTTGCTTCCTGGTCCTACCTGGAGTACTTCTGTTTATCCTTTTACTCTAAGGTGGTACCTGTCTTTAAAGCAAAGATGTGGTTTTGTTTTGTGTTTTTAGAATACAGATCGATAGGTTTTGTTTCTTGATCCATTTGATTGGCCTGTGCCTTTTGAAGGAAGAATTGAGGCCATTGACGTTTAAAGTTATTATTGACATGTATATGTTGGTTGTGATCATCATGTTGTTTTGGTGGTTTTTTTTATGTTTGTTTATGTTAACAGTGGTCCCTGTGTTATAAAGATTATGACTTTGTATTTCCTTCCACAGTCTTTTGGCTATGCTCATTCTTCAGATTGAACTATTGCTCACCGTATTTTCTTCAGGTTTAGTTTGTTCTACACAATATTTTTAGGTTGCTTATATCATGGTAAGTTTTTCTTTCTCCTTCAAAGATATGGCAGATAGTTTTGCTAGGTTTATTAGTCTATCCTGACCATCATAGTCTTTTAGGACTTGGAATGCATTTTTCTGGGCTCTTCTGGCTTTGAAAGTTACCATTGTGAAATCAGCTGCTATACTATGGATTTTCCTTTATATGTAACTTGCAGTTTTTCTCTTGAAGCTTTCAATAAACTTTCTTTGCTACGTATGCTTAGTATTTTGACTATCATCTAATGTGGGGATTTTCTCTTCTGCTTGTTTCTATTTGTTGTTCTGTGTTCTTCTTGTATCTGTACGATTATAACTTTTCTTAGTTTGGGGAAGTTTTCTTCTATGATCCTTTAGAAGAGCTGGTCTATGGCATTTACTAGTTATTTTTCTCCCTTGTCTATAGCTATAATTTGAAGGTTTGTTGTTTTTTTTTCATAGTGTCCCACATTTCCTGTATGTTCCTTTTATGTCTCTGTCTCTGTCTGTCTGTCTCTCTCTGTCTCTGTGTGTGTGTGTGTGTGTGTGTGTGTTAAGTTTTCATATTCCTTTCTTACTTGTTATAGATTCTTTGCTTTATCTTCAGGTCCTGATATTCCATCTTGTGCTTGATTCATTCTCATTATAAGGTTTTCCTTTAAGTTTTCTAGTTGAGTTGTTGGCTTTATCAATTCCATATTCATTTTATCTTGAGTCATATTCATATTTCTACCTCCTCATTGCATTTTGTTCTCAAGTCCAGGATTCTCTTTGTCATTTCTATCAACCTTATCTTTGTGTTTTCTTGGATATCACCCAGGCATTTTTTTCTAATGTTCTTTCTCCTTAGTTTCATTGGGTTATTTCTTTGTGTCTTCTTTAAACTCTTTGAATTCTTCGATGACATTTAGGATTGTTCTTTAAAATTCTGTTTTCTGTGGTTCATCTAGGTTTCTGTCTTTGGCAAACATTTCTACAGGGCTGTTATGTTTGAAAGGAAAGATACTGACTTGATCTTTCATATTGTTTGCATTTTTACAGTGAGATTCGGATGTATGGACTGCTTTTGTTAGTTCTAGGTCTGATAAAGACAGAGCGTGTTGGGGTAGAAAATAGGGTATGTGGGAAGATTGGGCATAGAAGTTGGAAATGTCTTGGGTGGAATGATATCAGGTAGACATAAGGACTGGGCTGATATACAGGATGTGTCTCCTAGTCCAAGCCTGGAGTATGGAAGTAGATCTGGCTGGATGGAAGGTTGGATGTAGCATAGGAGGGGACTGTGGGTTAGGAGGTAGGTAAGATGGAAAAGGCCAAGAAATTGGTTGCAGTGCAGGCCAGGGTAGCCAGAATAAGCCAGGACAGTGGATGTGGGATCCAGGCTAGATCTATTGGGTTGTGGGAATGCATGGATGGAGAAGGTCAGGGATACTCACCAGGCAAGACCCTGAAAAAAGGTATGGGAGATCTAGCAAGGTGGAGAGATTGGATGTAGCACAGAGGGGACCTGTGGGTAGTGGTCTTGTGAAGTCTTTAATAAACTCATTGTTATACTTACTGATAACTTCATCAGAAACCAAAACACAAGAATCTAGCTTTACTAATGCCTCACTTTTTGTCATTATTTGTCCATGATCTTAAGTCTCCTCCATATATATATATATAAAACTTGAGATTTAAACTACATTTTAATGGCTTTGTTTGCTGGTGGGACATTTTCTCAAAAGCTGCTCTTGAGAACTAACTAGAGCTAACTTGCTCAACAGGAAGTTTGCTGCTTTTGCTTTTCATAATTAAATGTCCTTGGATTCATGTTTGGGACCAGAGACTTCTGACATGTTTTCTAATGACTATAAAATTCATGTGACATGAAAGAAGGGTAGAGAATTAATAAGGTGTGTGGGGCATGGTGGGGGACAGGCTATAAAAACCTAATGGGCTCAGTGAGGTAGATGTTAGTATTAGCGTTAAATATAGGGTAGATTTCTTAGGCTGTCTGAATCTTGTTGTCCATACCTGTGAGTCTGACTAGGAAGACAAATCTTGTTTTTTCTCCTCAGTGAGGAGCTGGAAGTGGTTGAATAGGTGGTACCCTGCCAAGTTCCCTGATCCTCGGCATGCCACACTCTGGTCATAGTCATGGCCTTTGTTTTCAGAGTGCTATTCTTGGCTTTTTGTCTTGGTATAGGAGAACTGTGCTGTGATGGGTAAATTACAAACCTAACCTTATCTGCGTGGTATGTCTCTCCCTATGAATCATTAGCCAGAAAGCCCTTCACTTTGTAGGACTTTTTGAGCAGAATCTGATTGATAACCAGATATCTCTGGACCAGATGTTTCCCATGGCTTTGAGGAAGGAGGCCAGCAAATGAAGAGGTAAGTGACAGGGTGTGTTAGCAAAGGGCGGTCTTGACAGAATAGAGGAGGATACAGGATTTATGTATTTAACATGGCATCCAAAGTAAGAGCACAGTGCCTGGCACAGGTAGGTATGCCTTGGGATTTGAATGATGGAATGGTTGTAGGGAGGCAGGGTATAGGAGAAGAAAGAGGGCTGTGCAGGGTGTGGATCTGAGGATCCTATATATATTAGCTGAGCAGTAGGTATGACAAGGCCCGGTGAAAGGAGCCCAGTGGACACTGAAGGGAGGTGTCAGAGCACAGTGCTTATAGTGACCAAGGTGGCACAGGCAAAGCCATGCAGCCTCTGCTTAGCAGAAGTACCTCTACTCAGTGAAACACACACACACACACACACACACACACACACACACACACACACACACACACACACACAAGATCGCTTAGGTTTGGGATGTATCCATTTGGTGAATCTAAGTAGCTCTGAAGATCACTGGGGTGTCCGTAGGTCACATAGACTGAAATACCATAGAGTAGAAGATAGAGGAAGTTGAAGAAAGAACTGGGGACTTGGGAGATGGGGGTGTTGGAGGGCCTTCCCTTAAGACAACTGAATAGTCCTCAAATTATTCACCAATGATCATCTCATTAAATGTAGAAAAGGCTTTGTCAAAATCTAACACTTCTTTATGATAAAAGTCCTGGAGAGACAGGGCTACAAAAAAATATATGTCAACATAATAAAGGCAATTTACAGCAAGCCTACAGCTAACATCAACTTAAAACAGTTTAGGAGAAACTTAAGGCATTTTCACCAAAATCAAGAACAAGACAAGGATATCCACTCACCCCATACCTATTCAATATAGTACTTGAAGTCTTAACTAGGACAATAAAATAACTGAAATACATCAAGAAGCTATAAATAGTAAAGAAGTCAAAGTATCTTTATTTGCAGATGATGTCATAGTATACCTAAGTGTCCCCAAAACTGTAACTGGGAAATTCTTGCCACTTATAAACACTTTCAGTAAGAGTAACAGGATACAACATTAACAAAAATTAGTAGATTTCTTATATACAAATGACAAACAGTCTGAGACAGAAATAAGGGAAACAACTTCCACAAGAGCCTCAAAAATGTAAAATATCTTGGGGTAACTCTAACTAAGCAAGTGAAAGACTTACATGATAAAAAATTTAAGACATTGAAGAAAGAAATTGAAGAAGATAACAGAAGATGGAAAGATCACCCATGGTCACAGATTGCCAGGATTGCTGTAGTAAAAATGGACATCCCACCAAAAGTGATTTACAGATATACTGCAATACCCATCAAAATTCCAACAGTCTTCACAGAGCTTGATAATTTTCAGTTTCATATGAAAAACAAAAACTCAGGATAGGTAAAACACTCCTGAGTAATAAGAGAACTGCTAGAAGTATCACTATCCTTATCTCAAATTGTACTACAGAACTATAGTAATAAAGGCACATGGTATTTCACAAAAATGGACATGTTGATGAATGGAAATGAATTGAAGACACAGACATAAATCCACACACCTATGAGTTCGAGGCACAAGGTTTCTTGTGCTCACAGATAAGCACTAGAAGAACCAGAAATGTTAAACACACAGGGTGGTCTCTTCAAGAGGAAAGATATATAACTTTTTTCTGCACAGAAGGGTAGGAGTGGACATGGTTAACAGCCTGGTGACCACTGTGATATCTGTGTGACAGAGACCACACCAGATTCTTCCCCCAAGACCCTTGCCTAGAGATTGTTTGTCTAAGTCAATCTATAGACGCTATCTTTAGGGAAGATGTCACTTTTACTTTACAAAGAGTTTCAATGTAATCATATGCTAAGCTTTGTTGTGCACATAGGATTGAGTTAATTATCAACAGAAAAAATTTCACCAAATTGTGCTATCCTTAAATATGCCTAAAATAAACTACTCAGGTTCAGAATCTCAAAGTTTGAATCAACATAGGCTACTGAGTTGTGTTGAATAAAACTACCTTCTTGCCTCATCTGGATCATTACTCTGGAGACTGAAATGGTTGCAAAGACTCCCATACATATGGACAACTGATCTTTTATAAAGAAGCCAGAAATGCAGGGTGGAAAAAATACAGCATCTTCCACAAATGCTGCTGGTCAAACTGGTGGATGCATATAGAAGAATGCAAATAGAGTCATTCTTATCACCCTGCGCAAAGCTCAACTCCAAATGGATCAAAGACCTTGACTAAGGTCAGATACACAGAATCTGATGGGAGAGTGAGGAATAGCCTTGAACTCATTGATATAGGAAAAGACTTTCTGAACAGAACACTGATAGCACAGACACTAAGAACAGCAATTAATAGCTGAGATCTCAGGAAACTGAAAAGTTTCTGTAAGGTAAAGAAACCAACATTCAGACAAAGCAGCAGACTAAAAAATGCGAAAACATTTTTACCAACTACATAACTAATAGAGGACTAAGCTCCAATATATATAAAGAACTTAATACGCTGGAAGTCAAGAAAACAAATAACAACTAAATTAGGGTATACTGGTGCACACCTGCAATCAAAGAGTTGTAGAGGCAGAGACAGGACAATCCCGGAGACTACCATACTGGGCTATTTGGCAAGACCCACATCACAGCGAGAGATGCTCTTTCAAAATACAAGGTAAATAGAATATGAAGACAAGCCAAGTTTGTCTCATGGCCTGCACGAGCACATGCACACAAATCCTTTGTCTGTGCACACACACATACATAAAAACACATTGTACAATTTGTATGTATATATAAACATTTTCAGTAACCAATAGTATTTCAATAAATGTAGATGAAATGAGGGCAAATAAATAGGCACATGAAATTTTCATATACAACTCATTAACTAACTGTGGTAAAAAATGGAAAATTTAAATTCACATTATTTTTACGATCCAGAGAAATTATAATTAGGAAACAGAATTAAAGCTACAATAGGATATTTAAAATATCCTGGAATGTTTAGAGTAAATTAAAATATTTTTTAAAAAAAATCTTAGAAAGTCACTATCAATAAGGAACTTCCTTGAATAACCTCAGCATCTAGGGAACATTTATGATATAAAATAAAAGAGAGCAAGTAAGAGAATTCCTGTGGAAATAACAACTTATGGTGTACAATGAACTTTATAGTACTTGGCAGCAGAAATGTCACAAGTGTGTTCACATGTAATATCACACATTTTATTTCAATCATATGACGAATCATGCTTTGCTACTTGAACTATTAAACAGTTTAAGAAGAATCTGTTTTTTGGGAAAAATTATTGGTGCTGCACCAGCACGACTCCTTACAACCATCTGTATGTCCAGTGCAAGGGGGCAGGGCCAATGACCTCTTCCGACCTCTGTTGGAATGAGGAATTCAAACATATATGCATGCTGGCACTACACTCATACATATAAATAAATTGTTTTTTTGAAAGAAGAGAAAAATTAACATTTTTTAAAAATCTGGTGGCACATTGCCTGCAAGTTTTTCAGCATATTGATTATTCTGTTATCAGAACTCATTTGTACCAAAGGAGTAATTGTGGGATAGACATTCATCACAAACTTCTGAAGAGTCAAGATGACTGGGTTGTATGTCCATAACAGGACTGAGGTGGATGAGATGATGAAGTCCACCCAGTACATAACCACAAAGAAAACCACCAGCAGCAAGATGGTCTGGGTGGCCCTCTTCTCAGGGGATGCTCTCGGGTGGCTGATGCTATGAAGATGCTTGCATTGTCTCTGATGTCTGAACAAGATAGTCACCATGTATGCACTTGTGGTCAACATAACTCCTACAAGAAAGACATCTCTGGAGACTGTCACTGTTAAAATCAGTGCCCTGATGATACAGTTCATGGGGAAGAGTGAGCAGGATTCAGTGACCTTCATCTGGTTGCTCTCACTCACATTGGTAAAAGCACCAACATAGAAGATCCACCTACTACTGAATGACAAATTGAAAGACCAGAGGTAGAAGAAAGCATAGATTGTGTATGTTTTTAGTTTATGTTTAAATTTTGCCAACAGTGAGGTACTGGGACTGATAGTGACAGCCTGGAACACACTCAGGAGGCAGGTGATGCAGATGGAGAGGCCTCTCATCACCCTGCTTATGTAAAAAGTTGCCTTACATTTGAAGTCATTCTCAAGGTTCAGTGACTCAAATACGTGTGTAAGCCAAATATCCCCTCCAGTGAGGACCATCACTATGTGGATGAAGGTCAGTTGACAGGAGATCAGGTCCATGGGCTTAGGTCTGTGACACAGGATTATGACAGTGTAGGAAAAAAGAAGAAACGTATTGGCTGTGACTCCAAGTCCAGATTGGAAATAAAGGATATTCTTTAATGAGGACATATGTGGAAAGTGCATTCTTCTTGACATTATAGTGGAAGCATATTTCATATACATGGAAAAAATAATAGAGTATGCATCAAACTTGTGATTCACTGGTCAGTATGTCTATACCATCATTCTGTTTTACCTACTTATTCTTGATTAACCTCTCTCTTTAACTTTTGATGTTCCAGACTGGATATCATATATTTTGATATATTTCTCCATGTATCTACCTGTATATATAGCATACTAGAGATAATAAAGGCATTCAAAGTTGCATCCTATAAAGAATGCACACTTTGTGTGCCAATATTGTACCTAGGCCTTATGCTTTAGAAATCCAATCTTATTGATTTAAATTGCCTCGTTTTATAGTTAACACCTAAAACAGTAGTGATGAACACAGAATATTAATCTTATTTGTACAACTAAATAAAAATGATGTTGATCTGGGAAAAAAATCACAAAAGAAATCCAAAAGAGCAAGGTGAGTCAGCCTCACATTTCATAATTTTAATAAGCTCTATTTTCAACTATCCATGTTTTGACTCATAATTCTAATGGAATCACAGTGATAATTCATGATAATCTCATTATTTTAATCCACGAAATGTCTATCTCAATTAATCTGTTTTTATGTTCACTTTTCCATGGAATCTTACATCCCCATTATCTGGAATTAAAGACATAGATACAGTTGGAGGTCATTACTGCACTTTCCACACCCTATTAATTGTAACCATTATGGTTATAAATGTCCCTAGATATCTCTCAGCTTACTTTCCACCCTGTTTAAAACTTTTGTGAACTTTACCTCAGGTTTAAAGAACTAACTCCCAGCTATTGAGACAAGCACTGTTTTTCTTTCCTTGTGGAAGAGGGGGCGGGTAGTAAATGGTTAACAGTGTGATTCATTATAGCTTTTCCAGCCATCCATATTGCTATTTACCTACCTCCCCCCACCGAAGGAGTCCCCTTCCTGTTTTCCCATTTTCCCTATCAGAGCCATTGTACCCTGCTATTACCCTTACTTTTCTCCTGCCTTCTTCTGGATTTACCTCCTTCTTCCTCCCTAGTGAGCTCCCATTTCCCCACATACACTCTCAGATCTCTTGTATCCTGCCATTCTCCTTTACCCTCTCTCCCCACACACAAGGAGCTCCCTTTTCCCATTTCCCTGATCAGACTGCTTGTACCCTTCTATTACTTGTCCCCTCTCCATTGTTCCCTACCAGCCCACCCCATCCTGGCAATTGTCCTTTTACCCTGCTTTCTGTAGTTACTACAGGCTATGTAACCTGAAGATGTGGAGCTAGGAGCCTCCGACAAGAGAGAACATGAGACACTATTTTCAACACACTGTGGCAAACATGAACTCGCTGAAGATGACCATATAGTGACCCCGTTTTGGAATTTCTGTTTTAAAAGAGATTCCTTCCCAAGCCGTAGAAACCAAGGACGCAGTGTTATCAGAGGTCATCAGCACCAGACAGTTCCACTCAACAGTCTCACCTTTGGTACCCATGTTAGTTATTTGGCCTGGTTACCAGTGTCATTATTTTATCAAATTAATTTACTTCAGTACTTTAAAATCATCTTTCTGATAGAGGAATAGAAAACTGCTTCACTGACTCAGGTTCTTGTAAGAAAAAGAGTGTCCAATTGTATTTTCAAGTTCACTCATGTATTTCACATTTATAGTTGCATGCACACATATATGTATAGAAATAGTACAGGAGTTAGTGGCTGATAACCCTCTAAAAGCTCCTTATGAATACAAGACAATAAACCACATTTAATATTACACAAATTTTGCCCTTTAAAAGCTTAACCTAGTAAAGGAATAGATTCATCCCAATTGCCAGAGCCAAACATCTGATTTCCCCACCGACATGTACTTACAGCAGCTGCACCATGATGTTGCTGGGAATCTAATCCAGGTTCTTTGCAAGAGTAAAACGTACTCTGAACCACTGAGCCATCTCTCCCGGATTAGATTCCCAGCAATGACATGGTGGCTCATAACCCTCTGTAACACTCATTCCAGAGAATCCACTGCCCTCTCAGACCCAGGCATGAAAGTGGAGCACAGACATATATGCATACAAAGCACTCATATATGGACAATAAAATAAACCTTTTTTAAACTTTCATTCTTCTCTCATACATTACATCCAGACTGCAGTTTCCCCTCTTTCCTTCCCTCCCCTCCTTCCAGTCCCTCCCTCCATTTCCTCTCTCCCCTAGATCAATTCATTCTCTGTTTCCATTAAAAAAAAAATCCTATATCCAGCCTCCCAGGGATATCCACCAAACATGGCCCAACAAGATACAATAAGAATGGCGACAAATCCTTATATCACAGACGGACAAACTCATAAACATATAAGTAAGTAAGTAAGTAAGTAAGTAAGTAAGTAAGTAAGTAAATAAATAAATAAATAAATAAATAAATAAAAGCTCCAAGGTACCATTTAATTCAAGGCTTGATCTCCAAACAAAAAGACTTGTAGCCCAATTCCAACTTTAAAAATGCAAATGGACAAACCATATATGTACAACCATTTATTATGAATTAATCTATTCATAGATAATTACTAAAAATAGTAATTAATATATTATTAATATACAATTCCTTAATGTCGCATATGTATTGTAAGTCATACAAAAAGATGACACTACAATCAGGTAGAAGACAGTAATCTCAAATGTTTTTCCTTATCCCAAAGATGAGCACTTCAACCCCTTCATTTCCTATCCATAGCTTTATAAATGTTTATCACATGAAGAAAATGACACATCTTTATCAAGCGTCATCCATCTCTTAGGCTCACTGGAGGTGAGACTGGACCAGAAAAGTCCATAGCTACTATGGCTACAAGCTGAGGTGTTAACACATATATGCATTGAGAAAAGTCATTTGTTTTACTTGAAAAAAAATTGCAATACTGGGGTAAATCTGCACATTCTAGGAAAGCACTCTAAAACAAAGGCATACCTTGAAGCTCTGAGTGTTGGTTGCTTGTTTGCTTATTTTCTGTTTATGCTTTTACAGACCTCACTATATAGCTGATGCTGGCCTTGAGCTTGCTATGTAGTCCAGGATGTTCTCAAATTTATGTTCCTTCTGCTTCTGTCTCTTGAGTGCTGGAGTTACTAGTGTGCATGCCAATCCAAGGTGTTTATTTTAATTTAAATTTTAAGAATTTATCAGTTCCTAAATAGAAGATTCAAAAGATCTATACTAATGTAATGCTAACTAGGAAGTCAGAATAGATGAAAACACCAGAGATAAAATCTACACAGTAGTATAGTGCCGAGGAGAATTAGACCCTCTGTGACATGCTGGAAATTTACTAACTGTATACATACCTTGTAGTCTGTAGGTGTGTGAAGGTCAGGGCTGCTCAGGCCGCAAAAGCACTGGAGCACATTCGAAGCAGACCCTGGAAATGAAGGTTATTGCTGTTTCTGGTTTTCACAATAGTTTAAGTTGTAAGTACTAAAACCTAAGTGTACCCATAAACATTGATAATTGTGGAGAAGCCATCACTATTGAATTGACCCAGGCTTAAAGACCAAACAGTCTGCAGGCAGCTGTCTGGAAAGATGTATATAAAAGAAACCAATGTAGAGTTGCATAATTCCTTAGTGCATAGCTGTACATTCCTCTGAGGAAAATCACTTTACCCCTTCATTATCACAGCATTTGATTTTAAAACATGAATTTATGGTGCTTTGAAGAGATAATAATATGATAAACATACAAACATATTAGATCAAAAGTATCATTTTCATTTTCATTTTTACCATAGTTAGGAAGTAATGACCAAAAGGCAGCAGGACTGCTCAGAGAGAACACAGAGTGATTGTGTGACTTTCAGGTGACAAGATACATGGTGTTGCCTGGTGCACGGTCCACTGTCAGCAACATTAATAAGTCTTCAGGAATCTCAGGAAGGTGAAGACCTTAGCTACTCAAATTAGGTCCATGAAATCTTTATGAAATACATAATGAGAGCAGGAATAAATAGTGATTATTTTTAATAAAGAATGAATTCATAGTAATTGCCTGATACTCTTAAATAATTTTAATGCATAACTTATTCTTTGGAAATTAGTATAGCACAGGTGAAACTGGAAACCCACAGACACTGACTAGAACATTACATTCTCAGTTATGAGCCAGTTTCCCTGAGATGAAGCAGCAGCAGCAGAATGTCACTGCAGACTGTGGGGAAGCAGTCACACCACAGCTGGATCACACGTCACATGGTGTAAGTCTGGGAAAGATATGAAAGTGTTCACTCTAAGTGTGTGTGTGTGTGTGTGTGTGTGTGTGTGTGTGTGTGTGTGTGTGTGTGTGAAATGACTGGACTACTGGCCCTAAGACTAGAGCAATAGCATATTGTGTGCTGGGGCTGCTATCCTGAATAACTATACAGCACTTGATTGAAAAACTGAGAGTTACATCAAATATGTTCATGAAATAAAATGAACCTTAAAGAAAATGAAGAGTGTGTCCTCTATTTTATGGTTGACTTGACCAGATCTGTGGGCCCTGCCTAGTGCATCATCACAGATTTTTAATGTGCATTACTCAAAACAAACTGAAAATTTTTTAATGCTTGCAAACGTAAACTCATGTTTCTGTAATTTGTTTTTTGTGACTGAATGACATTTACTGGCATCATTTTGTTCTATATTTTAAAACAACAATTTCATAATTCTACATTATCGTTTTTCCACTGTAATTTTACTGTAGTGTGTGTATGGGGGTGTTACATAGAGTCTCATTCTGTAGTTCAAACTGACTTCAATCAAACTCTTGATGTTCCTATCTTAGCCTTCAAAGTGTGCCATTACACCTGCCTTCATTTTCCATTTTAATCTTCTGTATACATTAGTAAATGATATTCTAGCAAAACTAAAATGAACTTGTGATAGTCAGCAGCTAAACTTAAATTTACTTGGCATATTTTTGAATGTGTATTTTAATGAGCAATTGTATTTTGTTACTATTAGAGAAAACCTTGGGGATTTTGACTTTGAGTAATTTTATACTATTTGAGAATTGAAAATATTTTATAACTGCTAATAAAAATATTAGTCAGTATTATATTATATATAATATATAATATATAATATATATAATATTATATAATCAATATTATATCAGTATCAATGTTACATGATTCAATTAAAAAACCTAAAATATTAAAAATGAATTTAATTTAAACAGTAGAACTGCTGCTGAAATTTTACAGTTTACATTTTGGTAAGGATAAATTTACAAAGGTTTCATAAATAAGTGAGATGAGGCTTCCAGATACTTCGGCAGTAAACAGAAAAGATAGATTTTATTAGAAATCATTGCAATAGAATAAACAAATCTATGTAAACAATTTTTAAGACTCACTGTATAATGTTAAGAACATCTTATGTGTTACTAGGCAATGAGTTGAAACTTTCCTTTAAAAAACTGCTAAGTATATGCAAACTTAACAGAATAGAAAATTACTGATAAACACTGAATTAGTTAAAATTTGTGGTATATTTATAGCTTAAGTTTCATATAAATCAATGCATGTACTCAGTTAACTTGAGAAAAGTAGTAAAATGAGAAAATACAAAATACAATGTAAATATATCTTAATATTATAAATGTACTTCTGCAAAGGAGTAAATGTGTGTTCTTTGTTGTTCATCCTCTAAGTCATTTCGGGTGTTTTGTGACAGGGGTGGAAAACTAACACAGTTGGCATCACCTAGATGGAACCATGTTCTTAGAATTATTAAAGCACACACTCAGGAGAATCCATGGTCAGATATGCTCACTACAATATTCTATTTGGGGCTACTTTTTACATATGTACTAGTGTACATTCATTGTGAAAAGAGATGGGCTTCATGACACTTACGTTCAATATATAATATCCATTGATCGTCATCACCCTATTGGCCTTTCCTGTCTCTCTAGCCACACTTCTGCTAGGCCTGTCCTTTTTCCAGTAGCCTTTTTTCTACTGTCATAGAAAGTGAAATCTATGTTCTTTTACAAATCATTGCCCAGATGTTTTATGTCTACAAGCATCTGCTGTGTTTGCTTGTGATACAATATAACTCAAAAGTAAATTTCTAAGCAGAGAATTCTCTAATCATTTTATTACAGAAAATCCTGATTCACTTCACTGCCTACTCACAGCTTTACTATTAATGAATAGAAAAACAAACACTCACCTGGCCTGGCCTTTGATGAACATCCATGTAGAATGAGGCCCTAAGAAGCAGTTATAAGGAAGAAATGTCATGAGATCATCTCCCTCTAGACCCATAATTATCATGTCATCTGTAGAGAGCAGTTCTGATCTTGAGGTTGTTATATAGTGGTACCATCAAATGGAAGAGTGAACTTTCCTAATTCCAGGAAAACAGTGGAGTAGGAACAGCTGAGCTCTGGGTTTCCTGTGTGTGAGCTCTTCTCCCTAGGCCATATGTGTCTGTGTGGATGAGCTGATCCCAGTCCTTGTAGACAAAACAAAAGGAAAAATAATAATGTTCCATTTAAAAGAAGTAGGAAAATATTTTCACTTCCCTAAGGCATCCTCCCTGCTTCCAAAACATTCCCGATAGCCTCCATGCTTACTTGATAGTGTCTTCAGGGTCTCACCTGGAAATTAACAATACTTTTGTTAAAATTAAGAAACTGTCACGTCCTCCAAACACACTTGGGAATCATAATTTTTCTTACAGAGGGCACAGATGTGATGCAATGTAATCAGCAGATAGTGAGCTGTGGGGCTGAGGATGTAACTCAGATGGTAGAGTACATGCCTAGAAAGTATTGCTTATGTGGGGCATCATGAAGAAATCAAACCTTCACATTATATGCACAGGTGAAGGAGAAGAATCCCAAGTCAATGGCAGACACAAGACTTGCAATAAGATCACAGAAGAAACCTGTTCCAAACTAAGGAAAGAGTCACCCATACAAATACAAGAAGCACACAGAACACATCAAAGACAAGATCAGAAAAGAACACTTCAGTGGCATCTCATAGTTAAAACACTAAGTATACAGAACAAGAAAAGTGGATTGAAAGCTGCAAGAGAAAAGCTGCAGGTCACAACTCAAGAAAACCCACCAAAAGAACACCTGATTTCTTTTTTTTTTTTTTTTTTTTTTGGTTTTTCGAGACAGGGTTTCTCTGTATAGCTTTGCGCCCACCTGATTTCTTAAAGGAAACTTTCAAACCCAGAAGGGCCTGGAACAATACAACCCTAAATGACAACCAATCTAAAATACTATACCCAGGTAAACTATTGCCGCGGTTGAAGAGGAGGAACAATTTTCCAAATCATAGACAGCCTAAAATTTTTATATTTAACAAATCAAACCTGGGGTAATACAGGAAGCATTATTTGGGGGTAAAGAGATGAATGAGCAAACAGACACTGTGGAAATAAATATGAGTCATAATTATTAAGACATAAAGTCCCACTGAGAACACAACACCAAAAATCAATAACATGATGACCAGAACTAGTACACACATTTCAATAATAATTCAAACATGAATGGTCTCAATTTTCCAATCAAAAGTCAGAGAGTGCCTGAATAGATCAAGAAACCAAATCTATCTGTTACCTCCAAGAAACACATTTTAGTTATAAAGATAGGCACCACCTTAGAGTAAAATGATAGACAAAGTATTCCAATCATATGGAACCAGGAAGAAAGCAAGTGTTACTATCCAAACATCTGACAAAATAAACTTTGAACTGAAACTAATCAAATGAAATAAAGAGGAAAACTTTCTAATCAAGCATTACAATAAAGGAAACAGTTAATCAAAAAGACATTACTACCTTAAACATATGCACACCAAACTCAGGGACACAAAATCTAAAAAACAAAATCTATTTCTGGGTTAAAAGACAAAGATTAACACCAATCCATTAATATTAGGTGAATTCAATACCCAACTTTCTCCAATAGACAGGTCATCTAGACAAAAAATAAACAGAGAAACATCAGGATTAATTGACATTACACATCAAATGGACTTAAAAATACCTACAGAATACTCTACCCAAATATTAAAGAGTCCACATTTTACTCTGCAGCACAAAGAACCTTTTTTAAAATAGACCATACATTGAAATGCAAAACAAATCACTATAATCAAAAAGAAAGAAATCACTCTTTGTATTCTATATGACAATGGTACAATAAAGCCTAAAATTGACAGCACACTAATCTCTAGTAAAACCCAAACTCATGGAAATTAAACAATGTCTTATAGAATGATGACTGTGTTGGGGAAGAAATCAATAAAGAAATAAAAATTTGTGAAACTAAATCAAAACGAAAGCAATGAGACATAATTTCTGAGATACATTGAAAGGATATCTGTGCATAAATAGTAACCATTTTAGAAATGATTGAACTTGTGATATTAAACCATTACATGTTGGGATAACCTTTCTCCTAGAGATTTTCTAGTTGGTATTACTGACGTGTGGCTTATTTTACAATGTAGCTAGTTTGATTTCAATTTGGTTGGAAGAATATTGAGATTTATAGTATAGAATAAAGAAATTATTCATTTTCCACACACTGGCTATTACAGAAGGTATCACAATACTTCATTTCAATCTATATTACAAAGCCATATTAGGAAAAACAACATCGCACTTGCACCAAACCTGACAGACAGATCATGGTAATAAAATAGGAGATACTGGCATGAGGTCATTAAGGTACAGTCACTGATCTTTGACAAAGATGCCAGCCATACACACTGGAGAAAGGCCAGCCTCTTCACCTTTCAGAGCATGGAAATATTATGTCCACACGTAAGATACTTCATCTATAGCCCTATCTCTCACCCTCACAAAAATGAATTCCAGGAGTCTTAGACACATTAAGTTAAGACCCAAATCTGAAACAATTCAAGGAAAAAGTAGAGGACACTTCAACATATAGACAGACAAGTTTCTAATTCAGACTCGAGCTGCACAGGGAATAAGGTAAAAAAGTGAAAAATGGAATGTCATGAAATTAAACAGCTTCATTGAAAAGGAGACAGTTAATAAAGTGAAAAGACAACCCACAGAATGGGAGAAAAATCTTGGCCTGCTATACATCTGACAGAGGATTATTCTAAAATATACACAGAAATAAGAAACTAAACAAGAAACCACACAATCCAATTAATAAATTGGCTAGTGAAATACACAAAGAATTAATATAATTCAATAAATACATAAATAACTCAATTTGATACTAGATTGCAAACAGGTTTTTTTCCAGTAATATAAACTGCCAACAGTTGCATGAAAACGTGCACAATAATACTCATTATTATGGAAAGGCAAACCAAAACAATATGGATATTACTTCACATATATTAGAAGGACTTGAATCAAGATCTCAACAGATAACAAGGGTTAGGAGAAAAAGAATACCCATTCATTTTCCATGAAAGGGTGCAGGCATTGTGTGAAAAACTATTGTGGTTCCTCACATAGATTCAAAGTAGAATTATAAAATTCAAACTAAGATTCCATTTTTGTGAATATATATGCAGGACATTAAATTGATATCCCAAAGAAATAATTGCATTCCAATATTTATTTCAGCACTATTCATAAGAGCTTAAATATGAAAATATATATATCAATTTGTATATTCTGGATGGCAAAATATCGTATGAATAATATGATGATGTATACCATATAAATTATTAATAAAATTATTTTCTTTTGGAATAAATATAAACAGACCTATAACCCCAATGGATTCGAAGCAGTAATTATGAGTCTCCCAACCAAAAAAAGAAAAGAAAAGAAAACCAGAAAAAAACAAAAAAACAGGGCCAGGGCCAGATAATTTTAGCACAAAATTCTCCATGACTTCCAAAAGGACGTTAAACCCATGTCTTGGCCTGAGTTCTATTGCTATGAAGAGACACCATGATCTTGAAGACTCTTGTAAAGGAAAGCA